ATGTGTGCTTCAGAAGGAAGGAAAAATACTAGGAGGTCTTGGTATATTATTAGTTCTCATAAGGGAAGGGGCTTACATAAACAGGATTGGGGTCAGCAGGCATAGATTTATAACAATAGTGAGTTTAATTGATCTTTCATCTTTGTCCTGTTTTTATAAGGATGGAGTCTATGGAAGAAGAAAGAACTATCTTTAAGGTTCTAAATTTTTAACCGGCAAAGTACTGAAATGAACGAGATAAAACACTATTCCTCAACTGACACATCCCATGCCGAAATTCAAGGGAACTGCCATGATGCTTTCTGACTCTGTATTCTAGCAGCCATATACTCCCAGGAAGAACCAGCTCATTGTCTACCGACAACACACAGGCTGTGCAAGCACTCAGACAGGCTGCTCTGAAAAGGGGGAAAGAGATGGGTGCTTTTCTATGAAAAGTCCTTTCTAGCCTATCCCTGGGAAGGGACCCTGCAAAGAAATCAGGGGATACCTCGAATCATGGTCACAGTAACTGACTGTATCTCAAATGCCTTCCCGTGCACACAAATTCCAACTGCTAAGAATCCTATGAAATGTTTGGAAAACCCAGTCATTGAGAGACAGGCGCACACATGGCCAGCTTAAGAGGATCAGAAAATTAAGGTTAGACATGGAAGCAGGCAAATGTACCAATTCAAACTCCAAGCTTAGAAAGAAGGTCAAGAAGTGATGAGAGTAGAAGGTCTTGTCCTGTGTTTGGCTAAGGTAACTGAGGTTCCCACATACTTGCTAATTCTCAGAATTGAGAAGAAAGCTCTAAAAGACAATGTTCAGGAATAGAAAAACTCCTAGAGAAAGACATGTTTGCATACATCATTCCACAATTGCCCTTGGTAATGACACGGACCATAGAAAACAAACGAGATGCATTTCGATTACAGCTAGAACCTTCAGAAAATGAAAGATCCTTCTGATTCAGTTTTTCTTCTTCTACACCTGGTAAAAATGTTATTCATCCTTCCAGGCCTGGCTCTCAGTCACCCTTTTGTTGTGGGCCTCAGCAAATAGAACAGCCCCAGCTGTTCTGAGACTGCAGTAGTGATGTAGAAAACCACCTCAGTTCTGAGCAAGACTCTCTGTGACTGCCATGGTGGTGCACACCTGTAATCCCACACTTAAGAGGCAGAGGCAGAAAGATCCATGTGAGTGTGAGGTCAGCCTGGGTTAAACAGCAGGACCCTGTTTCAAAAAACAGAACAACAGCAAATGTCTACAAAATGTACCTGCATTCTTAGTTCATCCACTAATACTTTCTTTATGGTGAGTAGTATTAGCATTCTGGTAACAGTATGGACATTTTCTTTTTCTTTTTCTTTTTTTTTTGAGATGAGATCTTACTACATAAGATCAGCCTCCCAAGTTCTGGGATGACAGGTTTGTACCACCACAACCAACCTTAATTCTTTCTTAAAGTTAATTATAATTATAGCATTAAAAACTGTAACTTATGCTGGAGGTATGGCTCAAGGGTAGAACACCTGCCTCGCAAGCAAGTGTGAGGCCCTGAATTCAAAGCCACAGCCCCAAAATAAAAAGCTATAACATAAAACTAACATGTTCTTTAGCTCCAGGTCTACTCAAATTAGGTGTAAAAACTAACACTAAACTGTTTCATGGAATATGAAACTTCTTCGAGAAAGCTTTAGGAATTCCTTGAAAGAAAATACATTCCTCTGGGAAAAATATTGAGGAATGAAGAGGATGGAAGTAGGCTACATTTATACACATGAAGACAGCATAATGACACTCACCAAACACTGCTTTAAAAAAGGAGGAAGAAGGGGAAGTGTGGAGATACCACAGAGAGGGTGAACTTATTCAAAGTATGCTATACACATGTATGAAATTATTATAATAAAATCCACCTTTATTATTCATGTATTCTAATTCAAAAGTGGAAATAAAATTTAAAATACATTCTTTCCTTCAATGACTCCAGTAAGCAGTCACATTGACAATGGACGCATTGATACAATACTGACAATAATCCCAGGAGGAAGGTGTAATTAGCTTTATTTGACAATAGGGAAAGTGAGATACACCATTCACAAACAGTGAGGCTGTGATTTGGACCAGGTAGGTAGTGTGTCTCCAAAATTTATCCTCTTTTCCACTAACCCTCTCAAAGACTAAAAATCACTAGAGATTCGGGGGATAGTTTCAGTCACATGGTGTGCAAAAAAGATCATTCTGCAATTTCTCTTCAGTTAGATTTTTTAAAAACTTTTATATAACTTTAGCTGAAAACAACAAGATTCAGATCTAGGAATTACTCTGCTGTGCACTTGACTGGGAAACTGACCAAGTTTAAGCTGGTGCCAAAGTCAGCAATTCACTGCTTACTGATAGAACCGATGTCTTCTGTTGGCTAACTTTGTGCTACACAGGGTCCTTTCCACAGCCAGCTCTAGGAGCCTGTGTTCTTCTCAGCTTCATTTACCAAGAACATTTATGTAAATAATACAGGTAAGGATGCCAGACAGGAACACTTCCCTTTTCCACTGACATTTGTTCTCCAAGGCAAATAGGCTAGAAAGTTCAGAAGCCACAGCCACTTGCTGTCTTCATCTACCTTAGCTTAAATAAAAGCCAAGAGAATGCTTGCTTTAAATCCAGGTGGATGGGGAACTGAAAGGAAGTCCAATTCCATGTTGCTATCACTTGGTGTATCTGGTCAACAGTCATGTGAACAGGGGCCATCATGTTACCTAGGTCTTGTTAGACGTCAAAGCATAATTCTTATTCAGTTAAGTTGGCCAAAAGGTGGTCTGTCTCAATGCCAGGGGCAAGAAATTGGGCAGGTAGAGTTTAAATGAGGGGAAAAATAAATGATACCGCCGTATCTATTTAGAGAGAAGAAAGAAATACTATTCTCTGAAATGCAGGGGTAACAGGGTGTGACCTAGGCAGTTATCAACTAACATAAGATACAGGGTGTAAAGCAGGGAGTTTAAAAGAGTGACTTGCAAAGAGGCAGAGTCACAAAGTGACATCCAGACATTCCACACTCTGTGGAGTGGATGCCCTGTGACTTCACTGTTCAAAATAAGGTACCTCGTGGTATGACTTGATCAAAGAAACTTAGCCAAGACACAGAGTCCAAGAGGACATGCTAGTTTCACATTATCTCATGCCAGCCCCACAATTATCCTGACAGACATCACTGGTATCATTTTCCAGTGATATTCTAAGGCATCTCAACTCTTAAGAAGGTAACATGCATTTGAAATGAGGTTTTTTGCTTCTGAAACCTGTGGGTCTTCCCCTCTATAACACCGTCTCCCTAATTGTCAGCTCTGCTCTGAGCTTTATGTTGTGCTGGTGCAACCTCCCACAGCAAAGGCACCTCTGGGCCTACAACAGATGAGGAATGCCAGACCTACACCTGAGTTAATCATGCTATTCCCTGAGACCCTAGAGCTGGGTAGAAACATTTACTTCTGCAATTTCTTCCCTTTCTTGGGTTCTGCTTCAGCAGTCTGGGTTCTTTCCTAGTCACTGGTCATCCGACTGGCTCCCACCATGATCCCTTACATCCCACATGGATGGCAATGCTTGTCTCTGCTCATTTGCCATCCTCTCCAGGGAAACTTCTCCCATCCCAGAGATGATCTAGTCTACTTGAGATTATTATGTCCACAAGCTTTTACTTCTACCTCAACAGCTAAGAGGTCTATAGGGTCATTTTTGTCTTTGCTGCCCCCTTTCTGATATTATTCTCGGGGACTGTGATTAGCTGATCAGCAAGAATTTACAGAGTATACACTCTGGAAGTAGAGATATTGTAGGTGCTGGGGACAGAGAGATAATTAGTGCTTACCCCTTCCCCCAAGTGTCCCAGGGTCCTGCTCACCTGCCTGGTGACAGTTCCTGGGACTCTTAGCAACACCATTTTATTTCCTCCTGTGTAACTTCCCCAATGAACAAGCCAAGAAAGCAGTCAACCTCTGGCAGTTTGGCCCAGTTCTGTTTTTCTTACTCCCACTTTTCTGTGCTGTCTTCTTGAAGTTTCTTTTCTAGAAACTTTACTGTGTTTTCCTTGATCTACCTCTTTTTGGAAGCCAGACCCTATCTCAACAGGGCAAGATGAAAAGAAAGGAAGGCCAGGCAATGTGTACCTTGAATAGATAGAAGTGGCTGCCTTGCCTGATCAGCAGGTTGGAGACCTGCCCATGGAGTAAAGGAGCAGGTCAACAGTGAGAGGAAGAATGTTTTTCAGGTAAGAGTCTTAGGCAGAACTGTCTCTTGAGTTTAGTGAGTCTTAGGCAGAACTGTCTCCTCATTAAAAATCCATTTAATGTGAAAGAAGCTGTGGGTTATTTACTCATTGCCATTTCTCAGCAGTTCTCAAAGTTACAATGCACCTGTTCCTAAGAACACTTGGAGCTATGTGTTCACAGCAGTGACAGCAGGGAGCAATGGGAGGAAGCTGAACTTCAGAAGCAGCGACAGCAGGGAGCTACAGGAGGAGGCTGAACTTGACCTTCTGGTTAATTTTCACAATGTTAGAATCACCTTTGCTCACAGTTCCCATCCCATTTTTTACTGATTTATAGAAACTTCTCAATTCTTACACAAAGTTGTGCAAAGGAAGGCCTTCTTTTCTTATAGTTTAAATAGAGACAGTTTCAAAAGCAACAACCACCACCATATGTTTCCCCCAGCTTCCAACATAAAGACTGATGTTTGCATGAAAAGAAATGGTCAACTAGTTTAAAAAGGGCCTATTCACTCACACCCTAAAGAATAGTTTAGAACCATGAAATTTTATAGTCAGTAACAGATTAGCTCTAGTAACCAGTAAGGAAATAAAGAAAAATTAAGCAAATATACACACCCAAAGACAAACCAGAAGAGAAAAAAAAGAAACCCCAAACCCAGCCAAGTAAACAAATGGAAATGAACAGGTACCTTTGGGCAGTGCCCCAAGCCAGTGAATTCCTCTTAATGGGATTACTTACCCACACAAGTGAAAGTCTCCTCTCTCCCAAGAGGACCTTCAGGACAGTTCCGGTGCTGCTGTGCTAAGACACTAACAAAACTAAATTTAACAACTACTGGCAACAGAAGGATGAGTGAGAGACGCATAATCTTGATGGCCTAAGCCTTCAATAGAAAGTAACTTGATTTTGCTCAAGTGGCGCCCAGGCAAAGTGAGTCTGTCTGAGCCCCAACAGGTCCACTCTGGTCAGCCTTTGGCCCTGGGGCATCTTTTATTTTGCTGTTTTGTTGCTATCCTCCAGCTCCTTCTTCACCTCCAGAGAGAGTCTCCAAATGCAGCCTGAAAATCCTCCAGGAATGATTTCTTAGTATCTAAGTTGTTTTTGGAAGCCAGTTAGAAATACCTGACACCCTTATGACAAATTTCACAGACTTCGGAAACCTAAGGCTGACTGACTTGGCTGTGACAGGCACAGCCAGGCAAAGGCTTAGAGAGGAAAAAAAAAAAAGAAAGAAAGGAAAGATTTGAGGGAAAGTTCTACCCACGAACCTAGGATGAAGCTGAAGAAGGATGCAGATATGATTCCTCCGCAAACACAGTTTCTCGTTTTTGAAAAATAGAACGACTCCCCTTTCCTTTTTAAAGCTCTTTTGGCTCCACCTCCTCTGCTTTAGTGACACTTGAGTGAGCCTCTGTTTGCAAATGTGAATGTGGGCAATTCTACTGGACAGGAAGGCAGGGCCAGCTGCCAGAGAAGAGATAACTGCGACTCACCATAAATATTCCATGCAGACCAGAGAAAGAGCAATTAGAGGGCTGTGGACGAGCTAATGGTGTCTTGGACGTACCTGCTGAATTTTGGCTGTTTTAATATCTTGAAGGATGGAGACACAATTAAACCATATAAATCAATGCTGAACCACACCGTTGATAACTCAGATCTGTAATAATTGATCATTCCCGTGAACAACACCGAAGATAATTCACTTTCAGCTCATTATTTGAATGAAATGTCAACACCAGCACACATTCCTGGAGCTTCATCTTTTTTCTTCCTCCTGTATATTTTATAGCGGAATTTGAAAGATTATTCTTTCCAAAGCAAAGGGAAATCCCTGAAGCCAAATGAAGAGATACTGTATGCACAGATACTTTTTCTTTCAGCATGTGCATGATAAAACATCGTGAGGGGGCAGGAGTGCAGGGAAAGGAGTGGACTGTTATTATAGAGTCATGTTGGAAAAAATAAGTTAAGAGTGCAAAAGCCAGCAAGCGTTGGAAACCCAGCACTGCTGAGCGCAATTCCTCCTCAGATAAATCACGCCATCTTTTCATATCTCAGTGACAGAAAATCAAGCTTTGACTGTCCAATGGCTGTCTCCTTTACCATTCACTTAGAGCAGCCTCAGGACTTAAGACTATCCAGCTCAGGCAATGCGTTTATACCACATTTGATAAACAATGGCATTTTCTGCTGGTTTACTCCATCTTAGAAAACAGACTGCCTCAAGATAGTGGTCCAAGTGCTAGTCAAAATGTAGATAAAGCAATAATTATAAAAGTAACAGCCAACTAGTAGATACCCACTGTAAAAGAGAACAGAACCACTCTAGGCCCTGTGCTTGGATTTAATTGTGTCCTAATTATTTCTCAAAGACAAACAGTTAAGTCATGATTTCTCCAGTGTCATTCAACCTCAGCCAAGCAGCTCTGACCCTGTGTAAGGAGAAACAGACCCAACAAGTCATGTGGATGGATATACGGAATATTCCATTGCAGTATGGACTCAAGCAGACTCAAGACTCAGAATGAGTGTCCTACAAATAACCTTCACTGACTATTCAAGTTACTAACCTTATTAATAAGCTTCCCCTTCAACAAAATACACTGCCAATGTCACAGATGACAGCAATCGAAGGGGTTTGGAACACAGTCCAGTGTATCAACAGAGAGGAATGGAGAGAGTGATAGGAACACAAATATGAAATAATCCACAAGTATATTCTATTTGGATGTGGAAGCTGTCATGCTATTTTTGGTCATAGAAAAGTTTACTTTCCCAATTACACATCACCTATTGCCATTAATGTTGAGCAGAATGACATTTCCGTAGGAGTTGATAGGGATATAGTAGGTAATGTCATAGATAAGTCCAGCTAATTCACAGGTCATCTATAATTGCCCAAGTAGTAAAGTCATAGAACTTAGTTGCCCAACTACAAAAGATTTCCAAGATATTTATTAAGTCCATATTACTACTTCTAGATAAAATTGAATCTTCCCTGGGCAAAGAAACACCTTCCTTATCAAGTTGACAAAAAGATCATCATAAATTTATGGGTTTAGGATGCCAAATATATTTTAGTTTTTAGAATTGAGTCAAAAGAAACTGCTTAATCCATCAATTAAGCAGCTACATGTTAGCGGGAACTGTATGAGGTACAAGAAACAGAAGTCAAACTAGGAGTGATGGCCCACGCTGTTAGTCCCAGCACTTGGGAGGCTGAAGCAGGAAGATCATGAGTTCCAGGCCAATCTAAGCTACACAGTGAGTCTCTTTCTCAACTCATCCGCCACAAAACACACACACACACATACACACACACACACACACACACACACACACACACACACACACACAAAAGTAATAGTCCTAACTTCAAGAACTTGTTGAAGTTGGTTGTTAATAGATGACTGTGAGCTAGTACATGGCGAGTCACCAAGTATTCTGGGGGTGTTGAGAAAGAAAGGGACTGCACTGAACTCTGTGGGCTGAGACATGCAGTGAAATAATTGAGTAATATTCACTTGTGTTTCATGCAATAATTAGGAAGCCTTGATGGGCCTGGAGAAGGAGGAAGTCCATGGCGACAACAGTTGAGGAACAGGACAAAGAATATAATTGCTTAGGGATTAGATTCTTAGATGCTGAGGAGACACCGTTGGATGGGTCTCCAACTGTGTAAGAGAGTTAAACATAAATGGCAAAGATACAGTTCTGAATGCTTTTCATTGTGAGAGGCAACAACAGCCAGGAGAAGGGAAGCTACTGGGAGCTATAATTGTGTGTGCCCAAATGCGAAGCACTTCATTCTCCCAGGTGCTGGAGAATGAGCAGCTCTGATTGACCACAGCTACCATGACTCCATCAGCAGATTGCCTCCTATGTGCCAGGCATATGGGAAGCAGGTGTTTGGTTCACATCACCTGTAATCTTCAACTCCACCTTGCCAGGAGAATAAATATCCTATCCCTGTTTCACCCACAAGAACACTGAAAATCAGAAAGGCTGAGGGATTTTCCCAAGTTTACACACACTTGTGAAGGACAGGAGCTCTGAAGTCGTGACTCTCTCCTTCTTAACCAGTGTCACAGATTCGAATGAACAGGCTGTGATAGCACACCCACAACATTGCAGATGTGGTTATGATGGCAGGAACCAGAAATGACAAGGCAGCCTGTTTTGGAAAAAAATGGCTTTTAGCGCTTACCATGAACAGCTTAGATCTGGGCCACTCTGACTATGAATATCAGTGTACCAGGGAAGCGCCTGCAAACGAGCTGAAAGCATTGTTTTTTAGAAAGAAAATAGCTTGTGTCTGAAATTCTATGTGACTCATTTGTGGCAGAATTTAAAGCAGTAATAAACGGAAAGAAAATTGGGAGAAGCACAGGCATAGGAGTTAGCTATGTGGAGAAAATTTAAATTTATTAAATTTAATAACCAGATGTAAAAGTCCTATTGAAAAAAAGGGCAAATATGCTTCTTGGTATTTACCCAAATGAGTTGAAAAGTTAGGAAGGAAGGAAGGAAGGAAAGAAGGAAGGAAAGGAAGGGAATCAATTCATGAAAAGATTTTGAGGAACCACAAATGTATATTGCTTAGTAAAAGATGTCTGCTTGAAAAGCTACATAGTATATGAATCCAACTATAACACACTCTGAAAACAGCAAAATGATGGAGTCTAAAAAGGTCAGTGGTTACTAGAGTTTCAGGTGGGGAGGCAGGGATGAATAGGTAAAGCACAGGAACCTTTAAGGAAATGAAATTTCTGTGTGTGGTGCTGCAGCGGTGGATACATGTCATTATGCATTTATCAACCCATAGAACATACAATGATAAGAACAAACCCTAAAGTAAACTGTGAACTTCAGTTAATAGTGGTTTATCAATATTGGCTTATCAATGATAACAGTACTATAAGATGATAATAAGGAAAACAGGTGGGGTAGTTGATGATGTATATGGAAATTATCTATATTTCCTGCTCACTTTTTCTGTAAACTTAAAACTGCTCTTAAAAAATACTGTTTGAAAAAAAAAGAGAGAGGTTGCTATCTTATTACAGTTTCATAAATTAAATGTCATGTTCTGCCTGATGACATCAGATTTTTAAAGCATCTGGTAACAAGAAGAATCCTGTTCATGGTCCACTTTTCAACTAAGTCTATCCCTAATCATGTAGAAAATTTCCTCAGACAAAGAGTCAAAAACAAGCCTCCAGAAATATATACATAAAAAGAAAAGGCATAACAACCCATAGTCTATAATCTATAATTCTATGAAGGAGCAATAAAACTTAAACATAAAAAATTAAACCATTCATTTCATATGGTCTACTTTTCAACTAAGTCAGTCCCTAAACACATAGAAAATTTCCTCAGAATAAGAGTTTAGAACAATCCTCCAGAAACAGATGCATAAAAGGGAAAGGCTCAACAACCCATAACCTATAGTCTGTAATTCTATGAAGGAGCGATAAAATTTAAATATAAAAAATTAGACCACTCATTTCTTATTGCACTTATGAGCACAAATTCAGCCTGCCTCTTTTTTCATTCTCCCAGGTACTTTAACTTCTAAAAATGTCAATGTTTGGCAAGAGAATGGTGGCTTTTCTAACATTCACAATACAATCCCATAATCTTCAATTCTGATGAATTTGTAGGAAGCACAAAACATTAAGAATATAAGATTTCTGAGATGCTATGAACACTATTTGCTGGAAACTAATGAAAATGCAAGCCATTGCTTGAAGCTCTCTATTTGGTCTTATTTTAAAAACTGAATCAGTGTCTTTTTCCCATCTTCTACCTCCAATGACAGAAATTATATGAGTGAGAATAATCATGGTTTGCCAGTCGACTGAAAAGACATAAAATAAATAGTGGGGTGAAAATATTAGAATAAGTGATATGTTTTTAAATTTTCAAAAACCATAGCAACAAAATTAGTTAATTTGCTTTTATTTGGTTTCTCTAGCCTGACTTCCAACTGAGATGCACTTGTTTTGAATTTTTTATTAAAGTAGAATTTACATAAAGTGAATACATCGTAAGAATGCAATCTATCCAGGTTCTGGGGGCTCACACCTATAATCCTAGCTACTCAAGAGGCAGAGATCAGGAGGATCACAGTTTAAAGCCATCCCGGGCAAATAGTTCACAAGAACTTATCTCGAAAAAACTCATCACAAAAATTGGCTGGGATTGGCTCAAGGTGAAGGCCCTGAGTTCAAATCCTAGTACTGCAAGAAAAAAAACCAAAATCAATCTGATGAGTTTTAATAAATATAGGTCCATAGCTAATAAGCAAC